ATTATGGGAAACTTTCTTCGTCCGACATTTCAACGTCAGAAACACATCCTGCTTCCGTTGACAACTGTAAGCACAAACGAGCTTCCTCAACCAAACCTTCTGCAGCACGGTCGCCTGTAATTCGCCGGAGGTTGTACCGAGTTTGGCGTATTACCATACAGTTGTTTTCAACTCGAATACGCCACAACGCACCTTCCAACTGTTGTGGTGTTTCAATAGGCATATTAATGGCAATTTGTCGAGGCCTCTGTATGTTCAACATGTGTAAATCTTCACTTAGAACTTCCCTCTCATTCAAATGATATTGTCATTCTTCCCTCATTCTATTCACTGACCGTTGTGAGAAACGTAAACGAAAATTTAGAGGATAGAAGAATTCATCCTCTAACGCCCAATGATAACCTATAGTTTCAAACACGGAGCGTGGACTGTAACTCATGTTTGCAGTTGGTAAGTATGGTAATAGACCAACACACACAATGAATTTATAGTGATATTCTGAAGGTAATCGTGGTCACTATTTAGGTAGCTGTGGATATCTATTTTTTAAAAATGATGATTTGACTAATCGTGAACTACTTCTGATTTGTCTCATCACTGAATGACGTACATCACTACCAATGTTAAGTCGTCAGTGAAGATTTAACACAACACTACTTCTACGTTGTTATCAGTGTTATGTCATCAACGACTGACATAACTGTGTATAGTCTCTATCACTGTTCAATCCTCACTCCATCTTCACTGCAATTTATTATTACTAAGTTCAATGTATGTAACACAACATTGCTAGTACTTTGTTATCAATGTCATCAATATCAATGTAACACAACACTGCTAACACATCAAAATTAGTGTTAAGTCGTCAGTACTGATTTAAAACAATACTGCTAGTACTTTGGTATCAGTGTTATGTCATCATCGTCTGCTGACATAAACACTTCATCAGTGTCTAGTCACTATCATTGTTCACTCGACACTGTATTTTCACTGCAATATATTATTACTCGGTGCCTTTTTCATGTACTTTTATAATTACTATCATTACTGCCATGTATCAAATTTTTAGGATTTTTTGGGATGAATCCTAAAAATTGTAACATGACCTAAAATTGCAAATTTTTAAAAACTGATCCTAATATTTTAAGATTAAACCTAATTTTTATTTTGTTATAAAGAAATCGCAAACACTTGTATTAAAACCCACAAAACGTATAAACTTTGTTACTATACCTCTTTCGGTATCGAAGTCAAATCCATGTCCTTTTCTCAATCTATCAGGTGCAAATTGGGATGAATCTGCAGCTCAACAGCATCAGATCTTCAGAGATATTTTTAAAAGCGAAAGTTTTTAAATCTTGAGATATATAGCACAAAGAAACTTTTGATTCTATATTACATCTAATTTCAGACACCATTCTTTTGAGAGCTTAAAAGAATTTTGGTTGCGTTAAAAGAAAGTGGTATAGTGAAAGCTGGCAGCAGATTAAAGCGGGTTTGAGAAATCCGCTTTCATTAGAAATCGTATTCAATAGATCCGTTTTCTAATGAAATCGTATTCAACAGATCTGCTTTCTAATGAAATCGTATTTGTTACAACCGCTTTAATTCGAATATACAATACATCATATTCCTTTAAAGGTGGGTTTGACAAATACGCTTTTTATGTGAAAACGTATTTGTTAATCCCGCTTTATAAGTAAAATCATTTTTCTCAAATCTGCTTTTAGGTAAAAACAAATTTGTCAATTTCGCCTTTAGGTAAAATCGGATTTGTCAATTCCGCTTTTAAAAATTGTTGTAGAATGGTAAATATGTTCAAAACAGCCGTATATCGGTATTTTTTTTTTGAACTTTGCTGTAGATGGATAATAGACTCAAGATTTGAAAATTAGTACAATACCCTCTTGTACTTTTTTACAAATCTGCACAATTAATTGATAAAATGACCTTAGTGTACCCTCAAAATCTCAACCATTTAAATCTCAAAATAGGTCACTTGTCATATATTGATTAGAAATTTTGATGTCGTATACTGCAACAAAGTCTTGTTCAATCCACTATTTCACACACACACACACATACTCTAATTATCAAAAATTTGTTACTTTCTCGGTCACCTAAAACATTGACTAAGCACTATGGTCAATCAAGTTCCACTAGAACTTGTCACACCCAATCACACGCACGTTAACAATCTCTCTCCCACTCTCTTTCCTTGCCTCCCGGCAAAATTATACCTTGTCCCTCTCTTTCTCACCATCTCTCTTATCTCTCTCTGAACAACAACATCATTCCCCTCCTTCTCTTTCTCCCTCTCTCTCTCTCTCCATCAACAACCATCTTTCTCATCTCTTTTTCTCTAAGCAACAACCTTGTTGCCCTTTTCTTTCACCATCGCTCATCACCCCTTCTACCCATGGGCGAAGACACCGAGGGGCTAGGAGGGGGCACAGGCCCACACTAACTTATTTTTTCTTTTGGTTTTGCAAAGATGCACGAAGAAGAATAAGTTATGAGGGTTTATATGTTCTATCTTAAATTTACAAGTTATAAATGTTGATGTGTGCATGACACGAATTTAAAATAAGGCGACTCAATTTGATCATCACAAGGTGAAGTGAGAACCAAAAAGCAGAGATCAATGACAGTCTCTTCTCAAGGAAATGAGTAAAGAGGAAAATGAGTTAAAGAGGAGAGGGGAAAATTTAGCAAGAAAGCCAAGAATATAGCAGGTTGAAAAAAAGAGATTGAAATCTTCTGTCACATTTTTTTCAATTTTATTCGATGGTAAATTACCTACTATCGATAGAAGCAGGACCCATTATTTATAAGTAGACTCTTCACTGATACACTTTTGAATGAGAGTATAATGGAGAGTATTTGAATCTAAAGAAAAGAGAGTTAATACTTATCGTCTTGAGTCATTGAGACTTCTCTAAAATGAATGTGAATTTTTTTTTCATCAATCATCTTGTCTTTTTGGAACAAATTTGAACAGGCATCTTGAAACATTTTTCTTTTTTTGTTTGGAATATTTGTTTAGATCACCTTGCTTTGAGAAAAAAATAAAATTTTCACTAATTTTTTTAGGACCGTGCAAATGTCACCACGTAACCAGTTCAAGTGATAAGTTTACATGCTAAGTTATGATTAAATGGGATTGAGTTAGGATCAGATCGAAAAAAGGGCTCCTCCTCAACCTTTTTAGGATTGATTCTGATGATACCACAAGAAATTTCTCAGCTTGGACCCTACTTTTTTTTTTAGATAAGCAAAGAGATAAGTACAGGAAAGAGATTAACTAGAAAGGAAAACTAAGCAACAAGATAAAGCAACTATGTGACTCCGTTGTCCATAAGATCATCTTGGACCGAGTCCTTTACTAACTGTGGGCTCTCATTTGCCATGAGGGTGCCTGTATACCTCATTGCCATACCCCCACTTCGCTAATTCATGTGCTGCGCCATTTGAATCCATTTTAGTGTGGACCTCGGACCAACCCAGCTGTTCGGCAATTTGAATTTGTATGTCTGTGATGATGTTTTGAATGGACCATATGTGGTAGCATGACTGAATGGATCACTGTTGGATTATCCCCTTCAGAGGTGACATAGTTCCACGCTGCTTCTTTTGCCCAGCTTGTTGCATGTCTAGCACCTATGTCAATCTTACTTAGCACAAGATCCACGTTGACCACCAAAATCACAAAAAGCCAAAAAAGTTAAGAAAGTATTTTCACGACCAAACTCTACATTGGCCAAAAAAATACTCTTTCCAAAATGTCATGTCATACCTTGTGGAAAAAAATTTTAACGGCCAAATACTTCTTCCAATATTCTAACAAATTGTGAGGACCATACCATCATTGTTGTGAGGACGACACCACCCTTGTATATAAATAGACGAGTCATTGCCTTGTCACATCATGTGCAATTTATTATCGCAAGTATAATATTTTTTTTCTTAAACAATACAAACCCAGTGGAACAAGAATCTTCATTACAGAAGATTAGTCAAGTTTTTTCAACTAATTCTTTTATGTTTTTCACATCTTCAAATTCCAATTTAATTTAAGACCGATCCTAAATTTGGACCTCAATAATTAGTAATTTAACCTCTAATTTGACTTTAATAGATAGTAAATATTTTTTATTTTTTTTGAGATTTTAAAGTTAAGATATCAATTCCACCCATTAGTAATTTTGACCTCTTTAAATTGTAAGTTTATTTTATCGATTTTATTTATTTTTTCATAATTATGTTAATGGTAAGTTTCATCAATTCCATCATTCAATGCATGTATCACATAGAATCTGATTTTTATTGATTGTTGGTTATATAAAGATACTTGGAATGTTACTCTCTCAATAGCATTTATCAACTCTTCCTATTATTGCAGATATGATGGCAAAACCACTAAATCTGCTTAATCCAATTTAAATCGAAATGGCTGTTGAAAATAATGATCTTTCCTAACACAATGATGTGTCCATACCTGATATTACTCACTAGCAAGAAAGCTTTCTTTTCTATTTTATGGGTAAATTAAAGAACAATGTTTTTGTTTTTTGTTTTTGTTTTTGTTTTTGTTTTTTGGGGGTTGTGTGGGAGAGTGAAGCTCGATGCCATTTTGCAAGGAAGCTTGAATCTCACTTTTATGAGGTTGGCAGTTGGCCATATGACCACCGCTCACCGTTCGTCGTCCCCGTCCCGGTAATAATATCTCTATTTCAAATTTCTTTAGCTGTCTACACCTGGATCCACTCTTTATAGGCAAATAGATTCCACAAGCAAATCCCAAGCCAAAAGAAGTAACATGATGATGCATTGAGATTACACAACCAATCTCTCTCTAATAAATGTGTTTAGACACCAAGAATCTACCCCCCTTGTCTACACCCATTTCTCCTTATTCCTTTCAATCTTTTCTTGTACATTTCCTTGCCATCCACTCAGTGAAGTCTCCCAACACACACACACACTGAGGGCTTCCAGACATGCAGAGGAGTATGAGTTTTTCTCTACAAGCAGGAGATGCTAATTCAAAGTTTGATGATGATGGTCGTCAAAAAAGAACTGGTATATATCCACCCGTGTCTTCCAACTTTGCTCTGCTCTCTCTCTCTCTCTAATGGTGTGTTTTATTTGATGAAAAGTTGGGTGGATGAAAAATAGGGTGAAAAAAAGACTTTCCATTGTTTGATTACAAAGGAAAATTGGAGGCAAAGTGTTTTTCTCCGATCCACCATTTTTTTCCTCCCAAAACTGGGAGAAAAGTGAGAGGAAAATTAAAGACAAACTACTTTTTGAACAAATTGTTTGCCCTTAAATATATTTCTAAACATTATGCCATAATTTCAAATCAAAACATGTACTTCTCAAACAATATTTCTAAATATACTATTACATATATTTTTCCTATGTATTTTTTTTGCTATTATTTTTGGTATACATATTTATATTTATCTTTATAACTAAATAGAGCAACACTGAATCCCTAAAATTTATTTATAATAAAAAACTATTTATACAAGGGTATAATGATAAATTTAGTACATGTATATTTTCTTTCTTTCTTTCCACTTTTTCTTCTATATCAAATAATAAAAAATTAATTCTTTTAATTTTTTATCCATCGTGTCAAACACAAACGAGAGAGAATATTTTTTTTTTTCTCTAAAGATAGATTTTCGATTTTCTATTCTCCCAATTTTTTATCTTTTTTACTAAACGGAACATAAATATATATATTTATATGTGTGTGTACTGAGTTTGTTGTTCTTTGGTTTGAAGGAACGTTGATAACGGCAAGTGCTCACATAATAACAGCAGTTATTGGGTCTGGAGTGTTATCTTTGGCATGGGCGATTGCTCAGTTGGGGTGGATTGCTGGGCCTGTGGCTCTCATTGTTTTCTCTCTCATCACTTGCTTCACTTCTGTGCTGCTTGCTGACTGTTACAGGTCTCCTGATCCTGTTACCGGCATCAGAAACTACAGTTACATGGACGTTGTCAAAGCCAATCTAGGTAATTTATCATGCAAATAAGAAGAAAACATTACTTTTTCTAAAAAAAAAAGTGAAAAGTTCTAATAATTTGCTATGCAATCAATGATGAATCTAGAGAGTGAGCGGGAGATCATTAACCAAAAGTTTTGAAAAAATCTTCTAATTATTAATTAGTAATGAATAACTTCAAATATGGCCAAAAGTGTTCTTCCACTTAGACATTTAAATAATTATGTTCAAGTGATGTATTGTATTGAATATAAAGAACATTATACAATACCTACATTGTATTGAGCATTCAAAGAGTAACATTGATTTTGAGTTTTAAAGGGCAGCATGAAAATTATATTTATTTATTAGAATGAAACCATATTTTTTAAACAGTTACATTAACAAATATTGGTAACAGGGGTTATGCGTTACATACGTACAAACTCCGTGGAGTAGTTACTCTTAATTTCTGTATGTTTTTAATCGTTGTTTACGTATCATCTAGCAATGTTTTTTTATGTACTTTGTTTTAATAAAAAAGAAAACTTAAATTTTTAGCATGTTTAATTGTTATTTTATGAAAATGATCTTTATATACATCTTAGTGTCTTAATGATACGCTTATGTGTGTTTATATATCTATATGATAAAGTACAATATAAAAAAAACTTTTATTTTTTACGATTGAGATCATTTTAAATTTTATTTTAAAATTAATTTGATGGCTAGTATTAACTTTTTTAATTTAATAAGAAAAATAAGTCATTTAAAGGTGTATTTATGGTGGCCTTTCAAAAATATTTACTGGACTATCATAATCACTTTACACACACACACACACACACACACACACACACACACACATATATATATATATATATATATATATATATATATATATATATATATATATATATATATATATTATTTGGAACAACTTATTTTAATTACTTCCAAATAAGTCAAAAATAGTTTTACTACTTAAATAAGTAAGTTAACATAAAAAAAAAAAAAACTAACTTCTATTTCTTTAAAATTATTTTTCTACAAAACAATTCACTACCACCACCACCATCGCCATCACCCCACCATCACCACTACCATCCCACCACCATAACCACTATCATCCTATCACCATAACCACTCTCATCACCTCTACTGTCACCGTCGTCACCCATTATCAATTGCTAACACCGCCACTACCCACCACCATCATCATCTTATGCTTATATTTGTTAACAGTACTACCATCATCTCATCACCACCCTCGTCCACCACCACCACCATCGTTGCCCATCACCACCCGTCATCACCCACCACCGTCGCCCCCCACTGTCATCCACCACCAACCACTGCCACCTCCATTGTCAACCACTACTGTCATCACCCATGACTGTCACTGTCATGGGCACCATCCCCAAAACCCGACATCACCACCATTGGCTCCTATCACCACCACCACTATCACCACTTACCCCCAATACAATCGGTATTTAAATTTCTTTCTCTCTCCTCTACATTTGCAATTTGATTTTGGGTGTGAATAAAAATATGTTAATAATTGATAATTTTTTTTTATTACTTCATACCTTTTGGCATGGACAATAAATAATATCTATATAATATTATAATTAAGAAGTTGAGAATCAACTTATAAAAGTACAATAACAGTTAAGATTAATCTAATATTTATCTACTTTGATCTAATGATATAAAATTCATCCTAAAATTTATTTTCCTGCTCAAAAATATTATTTTAATTGTACAACTATCAATGTCAAATAACTCCATCAATTCACACCAATACCTCTTTTCTCTCTCCTCCTCCCACTTTCTTATTTTGTTTTTGTTAAAATAAATTTAAAATCTTATATGATCAATATTCAATTTTTCTTATTAAAAAATTTATTCAGACAAGGTTATTAGTAGCCTATTATAAGAGCTATTAAACTTAGAGGAATAGAGCAAACTAAGATAACAAAATGAACATAACTTAACAACATAACAGCTAGGCAATGTCTTGGCTGGTGCCTGTTAAGGAATGAGTATACTCGAGAAAGAAGTGCGTCCATGCTCATATAACTCGGGCAATAACTAGTATCTATATACTTACAACTCATTCTCTCTCTTTCTCTCCCCCCTCGTAGAAAGAATTTTAATGCTGAACAAGATTGATGGTGTTTCTGCACTCAAACAGGAGGAATTAAAGTCCAGCTCTGTGGAATAGCGCAGTATGGGAATCTTGTTGGAGTCACTATCGGATACACCATCACTGCATCTATTAGCATGGTGTAAGCATTGCAAGACCACCAAATTACTAGCTATATATATATATATATATATATATATATATATATATATATATATATATATATATATATATATTGTTTGTTAATTTATTAGCATGGTGTAAACATTGTCCCATCGATTATTAAATTTCTAACGTTGTCTCTTCAACTATTTAAATCGTTTTCACCTTGTACCAAAACTATGTGTGTCATTTATGTTTTAGAAGAAAAATATTTGTTTTCTACAAAAGTCAACATCTATAACTAGAGCAATGTGAAATCAATAACTCTAGATAAATATGAAAAATAAGAAACGTGATAGTTCTGGGATATTGTGAAATCAATAGCAATAGCTACAGATGTAATAAGAGAAGCGTGATAGTTGATAAGGGATGAAATAGAAGGTATATGTTGAGGGAGCAAAGTATAATTTTCCGGTAGTTTATACATTGATGATTAATACATATTGTTTTCCTCCTACTTTGATCAATTTCAGGGCAATCAAAAGGTCCAATTGTTTCCACAAGCATGGCCACCATGAGGGCTGTCACACGTCAAACAATCCCTCCATGGTCATCTTTGGGATAATACAGATTATTCTAAGCCAAATACCAAACTTTAATAAGCTCTCAGTACTCTCCCTTGTTGCTGCTGTCATGTCTTTCACTTACTCTTCCATTGGCATTGGTCTCACCATAGCCAAACTTGCAGGTGATAGCAATACTAATGATGCAAGTTATTCACAAGTGAATATTTGTTAGTACATTCGTGGGATTGACTCGTATGAAAGTTTGTTCAAATTTATTCATTGCTGAAACAAAAATTACCTCAGGCTCAATTTTAAACCTGAATCAAGCCTGAACAATAACATATTCCCCCCGATAGACTTGTCAACACATGCATACATAGAATGCAAGAGCCACGAATGATCTGAAAATGAGTTTAAGCTTGAATACAAGCTTGACCTCAGCTCGTTTTGTCAGCCAAGTCGAGTCACGCCAAATTGAGCCTGAATTTGAACAAAAGATTAAAATGCTACGTTCGAATTAAAGGGTTGGAACTCGTTGGGGTCGCAACCAAATGAGCATCGCCCGAACAGTTTGCTGCTGTATTTGATTCGGTATCAGTACATTTGCACTTACTATTCCTTCTAATAGAAGTTACAAGGTCATTTTTCAGACTTATAAAATATTTACATGGTTTAAAAAGTTCAATGTTTTCATTGAAATCCATAGATTACACAACAGTGTGTTTTGCTTGTGAAGGAGGGGCACATCCTCAGACAAGCCTAACAGGAATACCAGTGGGAAAGACCATGTCAAGTTTGGACAAAATGTGGAACACCTTCTCAGCCCTAGGAGACATTGCCTTCGCCTATGCTTTCTCTATTGTCCTCGTCGAAATACAGGCAAGCCCTTATGTTCAAATATAAATATTCAAGTTACACCATTTCTAATATTTTAAACTTTTAGAGTAGGTAGTTATTTAACACTGTATCATGATCATCTGCAAAGGTATGTATCCTTACAACTGCAAACTTGGGTTCGGCCATGGTGGTGGTCATAGCATATAGTTTGATCAGTTCTCATATACTGTTAATCACGTCTAACATACTTTCAAATGGGTGATTTCCTGTCGTGATTCTAAATCATGTAAATTATGTCGTATTAAAAAATTTCATCTCATACTAGGCTCACTTATAATCGTGTTTAATTAGGGTCATGTCATTCCATTTATTTGAGGGATTTAGTGATTCCTCAAGTTTACCACCCAAACACGATAATTATGTATCAATTTCATGTTGTCGTCACATCTAGATATCACACAAAACTCTTCAACCAACTAGCACTTAAGCTAGTCACCAGTTTATTTAGCAGATCAAACCCAAACAAATTGCTGAGAGGCTTTACAAAGTTAGAGATTGTGAGTTTTGAGTCAAAAGTTAAGAGGTCGGGAGTTTTGAATAAGGTTGATAATTGAGCCGAACTACTCGGATAAGACTCGACTAAATGAACTGAGCTTAAATAATTTTTTAGACTCATTTAAAAAAGTAGCCTAAAAGACTCGGCTAGTTTTGAATTCGGCTCAGACTCAACTTATTTTCTAAAAGAGTTGAATTTAAACAACTTTTTAAACTCATTTAGAAAAACAAGATTGATAAGCTCAACTCAAGCTCACAAAACTTGACACGACTATCAACTCTAATTTTAAGTCTTCTTTGGGGATCATCCGTAGAGATCCCAGTGCATACACAAGGGAAGAACTGGATGTGTCCGAGATAATTAAAAGACTCAAAGATGGGCAAACAATACTCGTATTGCAGCCTCACCTTGAATGAAATTCCATGTATTAATTTGCAGGACACACTGAAATCAAGTCCACCTGAAAACAAAGTCATGAAAAAGGCTGCCTTCATCGGAATCTCGACCTCCACCATGTTCTACATGCTATGCGGGCTCACCGGATACGCAGCGTTCGGGAATAATGCACCGGGAAACCTCTTAACTGGTTTCGGTTTCTTCGAGCCCTACTGGCTTGTTGACTTTGCCAACATGTGCATCGTTGTTCATCTTGTTGGAGCCTATCAGGTAAACAGTACACATACTTTTGCCAGCAGTGTTCAAATATCGTATTTGGCCGCATAGGTTTCATTATTATATACTATTCCATATTCTGTGTGTATATATACGAACCTGACTCAATTTCTGGTGGATCAAATGTCCCCGTCAAATCATAAACAAATGATTTGACCTAAATTTC